GGGAGGAGGATGACGAGGGGATTATACACTCGACTACTAGAGTGAAGTCTCCAGGGTCTGCGCGCCGTTTAGCAGTCTGTCACCAAATGCGCGTGGGACTTCAATTTGGAGACGAGGGGGGGAGAGGAGAAGGGAGGGAAGAGGGAGGAGGCGGGGGAGGGAGGACGAGGGGGGGAGAGGAGGCGGAGGAGGAGCAGCAACGGCAGGAGGATCAGGCGGAGGAGCGGAAGGACGAGTGGGAGGAGGGAGGAGGACGAAGAGCGCGGGAGGGAGGAGGAGGAAAGGGTTGGGGAGAGGGTCGCCAGGGGGGCGGAGGGGTCTGCACGACTGCTCCCTGCTCTGGCGGCGTCCTGCCCGAGGCGCGCGGGAGTAGAGCTGTGGGACCTCGGCGGCGCGGACAAGTCGCCCATGATGTCATACAAGCCACAGGCGCGCACCCCCTCCGGACGAGCCAGGGGCAGGGAGCACGGCGAGCAGGAGGATGTTGGCCCTCGACCCCCCTCGCGTCGTGAAGAAGTCGCGGCGGGAGGTTTTGTGCACCTCTTGCTGCCATTGGGATGCCCTTGCTGTGGCCCAGTGGCCGTCAACGAGCAACCTTCGATGAGAGGCCAATCCCGGGGGAAGAGAAGAGCACCCTCTGTGCGCAGTTCGTTGTTCGTCGTCGTCGGCGTCGCCGTCCTTCGTCGTAGTCGTCGTCGTCGTCGTCGTCGTCGTCAGCGTCGTCGTTGTCGTTGAGCGTTGTTGACGGTTGTCCGTCATCCATCGTCCGTCGTCGTATGCGTCGACGTCGTCGTCGTCGGTGTCGTCGTCGTCGCCTGTCGTTCGTCGTTCCTCGTCCTCTGTCGTTCGTCGTTATTCGTCGTTGTCGTCGTCAGCGCCGTCGTCGTCGTCGTCGGCGCCGCCGTCGTCGTCATCGTCGTCGCCGTCGTCGTTGAGCATTGTTGTCCGCCGTCGTTCGTCGTCGTCGTCGTCGTCGAGTTTCGCCGTTCGTCGTTCGTATATCGTCCCCCGTCGTTCATGGAAAGGGGTCGGTGCGAGAAATCACGACGTCTGGGGTGTGAGGCCTGGTGGGAAGAGGAGCAGGAGAGGGCCTGCGGAGGATCAGGCGGGAGCGTGAGAAGGAGGGCGACCCCAACTCTCTCTTATGTTTGTTATTACTCTGCGGTCTCATCCCGCACTGCGTTTGCGCGCGTGCACAGCAGCCCGCTCAACGGCGGATGGTCGCCGCCGCCCTACCAGCAGTACCTGCGGGTTCTTGCGGGTGCCAGAGCAAACCTGGATTTTCCAAGTGGTGCTATGCATGCGGCTAGACTCATTCTTGGTTTGGCCAACGCAGCACAGGATGCCAGTAGCCAAGAGGTGTCTGGGGGAATCCTCCCGAGAAGAAGTGGCAGCACACGTCCGAAAGTGCCCGCACCGAAGCTTCCGCAGCGCCAGCTTGTGGTCCAGGGTGCGCTGCCCAGCCTCGGCCGCCAGGGCGCGCCAGGAAAACCCAAAACAGCGCCCCCCAGTCGTTCACGACAGCTTCGGTCATCGAGCCCCCCCTCCCAGACATGCGCGCCCATTGTTTGTTCCGTACCTCATCCTCCTCTGCCGCCTCCTCCTGCTCCTCTCCCTCCTCCCTCCCTCTCCTCCTGTGCCTCTTCCCTGGCGTGTCCCGCGGACTGGGTGCATCGAGTCCGTGGCGCTACCGCCTCGCTGGATCACCTCAAGCGTACAATTTTTTGATGATCTGCCATGGAAAATTTATCCCCCTCCCAGAAATGCGACGCCTTGTCTTTTTCCTAACGGGGTCCCCGAGAGTCCGACCCTGTACCCCCGTGGGCTGGTTGTGCATCCCGAGCCGTTTCCTGTGACGGTCCCGGGGCCTGGCAAGGGCCCCCCGAAGCCGAATTTTTACAAAATGTTTCCCGTCGTGTTTTTTTCGTCACAGCACGAGCATGTTTTCTTTCGTCACGGCGCGAGCATGTTTGGGTTCCGTCCCTCTAGGCCTACCAGATGGGGTGGGGTCTGAGTAGATGGGGCCGGAGGATCGCGCCACATCGCCGATGCATCGCCGATGCGGCTCGATGTCGAGCCCGATTTTCTCCGCGCCGACGGCGCCGATGTATCGCCGCCGTCGCCGGTGCATCGCAAATGCATCGGCGATGCGGCGCGATCCTTTGATCCCATCGCCCCTGGAGGCTGAAACTGGCAAAACATCGGAGGATGCTAAGTCGGTAAGGAGTTCTCGGTTTCCGTCTTGGCTTTCTCCGTCCGGACTTCATCCGTCCTGATAGGATGCTACGTCCGTGCGGGGTAAGTCTGCACGGAGTGCTCGGTCTCCGTCCAGACTTCTTCCGCCCGGACTCAGCCCCTCCTGACACAATACCTCGCCGTGTTTTCTGCTCACGGCGCGAGCATGTCTGGGTGCGCTGAGGTGGCGATCGAGATGGGCCGCAGCGGCTTCCTGCGCCGCCTGCGGGAGTGCCGTCTCCTGGGCGACCGGGCGGCCTCCGAGGCCGCGGCGGCGTGATTGGCAGCTGTCGGCTCGCTCGAGGGGTGCGGCGTTCGGGGGCGGGCAGTGCCAGGGTGCGGTAGCAAATCATTGGAGCCTTGTATGACCTGGGCCCACTGGACCTCCAGCTGGACCTGGACCTCAAGCTGGTTGATTCGGCAACACAGCATAGGATCAAAGCGTTTGGTCAGGATGAGCCATTCTCCGAGACTGCCTTGGCATCCTTGTCCCCTCGGCCCATCCTTGGCTACTTTCGCTGGCCAGCCCCTTTCGAAAGAAGTCAACATGGCCTTCCAAGGCCCTTGCATCCTTCCCGCGCATCCTTAGTATGCGATTTGGCCGTATGTCCTCGCAATTCCGTCTTTAGAGTGCATTTGCGTTCGCTAGCGTCTGGTAATCGATGGTAAAACGCCGATTGGGCGTCGACTTTCGTCGATTTAGCGTCGACTTAGGGTCGGTTGGCGTCGATTAGCGTCGATTTGTAACAGCCAGCAAGATGCTACTGGCGGCTCTCATGAGTTGCCACCGAACCAGGGGGGGGTCACCGTTACGGTTGGGAATTTCGGCTGAGCTTGTCGCTCAGCTGGTTCCGGCCCGCCACGCGTCGGCGCGACACGCTAACCACGTCCATAGTTGAGCCTCCCGCCCCGCAGAGCGGAGCGACACGCTATCCGCTTGCAGGCCACAGCATGTCTCTGCAGCTGGCGCCGCGACATGTGACATGCTGAGCAAAGGTTCCCGACCTTAGGGGGGTCACCAGTGCCTCCTGAGGATCGGGGTTCCATGATGGAAGCTCGACGAGGTGTCTGGACGCTCGGGATCGTTCTGGAGAGCTCTCGAGTGTGTCTGGGGCCACCATGTTCTATGAGACATGGCGCCTCCATGAGGATGATGAAGAAGATGATGATGTCGATGATGATGATGATGATGATGATGATGATGATGATGATGATGATGATGATGATGATGATGATGATGATGATGATGATGATGATGTTGATGTTGATGTTGATGTTGATGATGATGATGCTGATGCTGATGCTGATGATGATGCTGATGCTGATGCTGATGATGATGCTGGTGATGGATGATGATGATGAGGAGGAGGATGATGCTGATGCTGCTGATGCTGATGCTGCTGCTGCTGCTGATGCTGCTGATGCTGATGCTGCTGCTGCTGGTGATGATGATGATGATGATGATGATGATGATGATGATGATGATGATGATGTGATGATGATACTGATGATATGATGATGGTGAGGAGGAGGAGGAGGAGGAGGAGGAGGAGGAGGAGGAGGAGGAAATGGCGACCTCCCTAGTGGTGACTCCGTCGGAGTTGCCTCATCGGGGGCGGCGCGGATGGGGGGGGGCCAGGATTGACGGGCGTGCGTGGGAGAGCCTTGGCAAGGCCCCCCTCTTCGGTCGGTGCGCCTCCTTCCTCCCCCCCCCTCCCCCTGCGTCCGCACACGTGCCTCGGTCCTCTGTGCGCTGAGCCCCCTCTTCCTGGCCTCCCCCCGTGTGACGACGATGAGGAGGGGGAGGAGGAGAGTGAGGATGTTGATGGTGATGTTGATGATGAGGATAGAGGAAGGGAGAGAGCCTCCCCCCCCCCTCCCCCCTTCGGCGCATCCGGGGTCCGAGGGGCCCCTATGGGGCCCTCGGCTTGACGGTCGAAGCTTTTGGCCGCGCCTCGGCCATGGCTTGGCGGGGTCGCCTCGTGGCCACGGCCGGAGCCCCTTCGAGGCGTCGGCCCAGAAGGAGCCCAGGACTCGGAGGTTGATAGACCTCCTACCCTGACACGTCGATGAACGAATTGGCCGTTTTCGGTTCGCGAGAGGGCGTCGCGGCCGTCATTTTTGCGGGTCCAGGTCCGTCGGTTTCGGTCCTAGGCCGTTTTCACTAAAGGGTCGTTTGTTAAAGGGAGGTTTGTCCACCGCCGACATTTGGTGTCACGAACAACAGTTCACGGCCGTCGTTTTTGCAATCCGTGTGTCCAGAGGTACGCTTGGGGCCCTGAGGCCTCAGTACCTAGACGCTCTCTTGCTGTTCATCTGCTGCTATTCTTGCCTCGTCCTGTATTCGTTTGCCTTCTCGGCGTCTGCTCTACCCCCCTCCCTTCTTCTCCGCCTCTTCGACCCTCTTCTCATCTTCTTCCTCGTCGACCTCTTCCTGCCGGTCTTCCTCGTCCCTGCCTCCCGAGCTTCATGATCTGAAGAAGAGGAATGCGACGGAAGCAGGCAGGAAGGTGGTGGTGGTGGTGGTGGTGGTGGTGGTGGTGGCTTGGGTAAGCAATCTGGTGAGGCCGCGGGCACTGCCTCTTTAGCGGCACCTCCCACTCAGGGATGGCTGGGGGACAGCTCACCACCTGTCGCGGGGGTCTAGTACCGCAGCGCCACGGCGCCACTTGGTCCGAGAGACTCCCAGGGGTACCTCCCCTGGGGCACCCTCCCCGCCCCACCTCGACCACAGGAAGGCCCAGCAATACCAGCCCCCAAATACCTGGGAGCGGGATATCCCAGAACAGGAGGGCGCTACAGCTGGGGTCCCGACCCAGGACGAGGGGGACAGGGGGATCCATCCAGGGCAGCCCTGGTGGCCACCCGTGCTGGGCGGAACCTGTGCCGCAGAGTAGGGATGGACAGCGCGAGAGCTCCCGCTCACCTCCGCTGGGGCCTCGCCCGTCCTAGCACATCCCGGATGCCACCGCAGGGCGCAGCTGCGAGGCGATGAGAGATGACTGGAAGAGGCCCTCCCCGAGTGGGTGCCCCCCGCCACCACCCCGGCTCGGCATCGGGACGCGGCCCGGCCTGCGGGGAGAGGCAGGGGGGGAGAAAGAGCCCCCTCGCCCACCCCGAACTCCACCGGCCCCCAGGGGGGCCCCAAGCCAGGGAATGAGGCGAGGCCACCGCAACAAAACAGAAAGCCCCAGGACCCCCAGAGGAGCACACCCCGAAAGCCACAGGCCCCCAGGGGGGCCCTCGCCAGGAAACGAGGCGAGGCCACCGAGACAGAAGCCAGAGCCCCGGGAACCAGGCTGAGGCAGAGGCAGGTTGAGGGAGGGAGGGGAGGGAGGCAGAGAACCAGAGGGGGAGAGGGAGAGAACTCAGTTCAGACAGGGCAGCTCCTAACGCTGTCTTGGCCGCCTGCGGCGGCGCACGCCCCCAAAGCGGGGAGGGGGGAGAAAGTCGATGCGCGTCTGGGATGAGGGTCAGGGCAGGGAAGGATGCGAGAGGGAGGGTAGAGGGAGGGTTGAATCTGTCAGTCGGTCGAGCCTTTAGGACATCATGGCAAATCGTGGATCTCCTGTGCCACAGGGTCCCTAGGAGTGCTGGAAAAACCGCTGCCTCAGAAAGGAGGGATACGGAGGGAAGGGAAGGAAAGATGAAGGGGATAGGGGAGCGGGAGAAGCAGAAGGATAATCGACACATTGGTCACCGGCATCAGCACCAGGAGGAGGAGGAGGAGGCAGAAGGAGGAGGAGGAGGAGGAGGAGGAGGAGGAGGAGTGGTGGGACGCGAGATGAGCGAGGCTACTCTCTATGGGGAGAGGGAGAGGGAGTATAGAGTGTGAGCAGGAGCAGACAGCAGAAGGATGATAGAGGAGGAGATGAGAGACATGAAAATGGTGAGGAGGAGGGTGGATAGAGGAGGAGGGACTGTACACACATGTGTATAGATGCATGTATGTATATGTATGTGTATATGATTGTGCAAGCTGCACGTATGTGTAGGTATATCAAGGGAGGACGGACCTGGCTGTTCGAGGTCCCAGTGAAGGTTGTCACGGACGTGGGGATGCACTAACTAACTACGTCTCTGCGCACGAGGTGAAGAACATGTGCAGCATCATGAAAACCAAGTTCGTGCAGGTGGGCTTCAAGACCGCTGTACGATTGACCGCTGTACGATTGAAGGCCTACACGGGACGACGACGTCCGAGGTACCCAAGCCAGACGACCGCAAGAGACCACCCATCCCTTACCGCGACGACCACGTGATCAGCCAGCAGTGTCACATCATCGGTACGAGCAGGGAGAACTTTGTCACCATACGCCTCGGCGTATACTGCGAGGCTGCGGACGAGCGCATCGCTTTGGCCGTTGGTACGACCAAGCAGCTGACATTCGGCTATCTCAAGAGCGAGCTGGCGAACGCTGTTTAGACAGGTGCCCGGGGCAATTGCCCAGGCAGACCTATTCCGGGCTGCAGCCATAGTACAACGTACCACCAGGAGGACGGCGAGCTGAATACCAACCACAGGGTTCACTACCAGAAGCACGAGTCGGGGGTCAATTCATCTTTCGTACGCCTCCTTACCGACTCGGGTAGCCAGTTCACGCACCATGACTACCATAATACGAGCACCGTACCGCAGATGGTATTCCTGCTGCCGCGGACCCAATTCACGAGCAACCAGCACACGTTGGTCTATCCAGGGGAGGCCGGGAGCATGGAAGCTGGCAAGCAGAATGCCCAGGTCACGGACCTTGGCCCTCTGGACGCTACCGTGGGGACCCCGGGCCGTGGGCACCGAGATCGCCGCTGCACGCAGCCGCAATGAACATGCAGGCACGACGCCTGCAGCTGCAACCGTGCGCTGGCCGTTTTCAGAAAACATGTGAAAGAGTTGTTATTGTCTTCCGTATGTGTTCTACGCCTTGGTGCGTGTACGTTTTCAGCGCCAAGTGATGAAGAGCTCAGTGGCGAGAAGCTGTCTACTACAGTACGTGCCCTACGTGACACACGTTGGCATAGTTCCAGCTGCCTCTGCCAGCCAGAAGCGATCTACGAGGCCTCGAACTCTTTGGTCGGCCAGTTCGAGTGTCGTGTCGCCGCGGAGCTGCTGCGCCTACGTTCACCAACCAGGATCGGAAGACGTGTCCAGTGGCCCTTCCAACCGAGAGGGCGGGGCTCCCTTCCCCCCTGGAGGACGAGGCGGAGGAGGAGAGGGAGGAGGAGGAGGAGGAGGAGGAGGAGGAGGAGGAGGAGGAGGAGGAGGAG